AAAGAACAGGGTAGAGAGAGAAGGAGAAGAGAGAATCCCCGGCATGCTCTGCACCATCAGTGCAGAGCCCTCCATGGGGCTCAAATCCACGAACTGTGAGATCATGCCCTGAACCAAAATCAAGAGTCAGACACTCAGCTGACTGAGCCACCCAGGAGCCCCTCCATCCCTTCACTTTCAATCTTCAGGTGCCTTTAGGTCTAAAATGGGTCTTTTATAGGGAGTGTATAGATGGGTCTTTTTTTTTTTAAATCCATTTTGACACCCCATGTCTTTGGAGCATTTAGTCCACTTCTATTCAAAGTAATTATTGATAAATATGTAGTTAGTGCCATTTTATTACTTGTTTTGTCATTGTTTCTGGAAATTTTCTCTGATCCTTTCTTGTATTTGTCACTTTTGGTCTTTCCTTTTTACTCAAAGATTCCCCTTTAATTCTTGTAGGACTCGTTTGGTGGTAATGAACTCCTTATGTTTCTGTTTATATGGGAAAGTCTTTACCTCTTCTATTCTGAAGGATAGCTTTGCTGGATAGAGCATTTTTAGCAGCACATTTTTCCCATTCAGCACTTTGAATATAGCATGTCATTCCTTTCTGGCTTGCCATGTTTCTGTTCAGAAACCTGTAGCTAGCCTTAAGGTCTTCTTTGTAAGTTAAGGACTTCTATTGTCTTATTGCTATTAAGATTTTTTTTTCTTTATCACTCTATTTTGCAAATTTAGTTACAATATATCTTGGTGTTGGCCTGCTTTTGTTGATTTTCAGTTCTTTGTGCCTCCGAGATCTGGATTTCTGTTCCTTCACCAGATTAGGGAAATAATCTCTTATTATTTCCTCAAATAAATTGTCTGCTCCCTTATCTCTCTTCTTCTGGGACTCCTACAATATGTTATGTTTGATGGAGTTACTGAGTTCCCTATGTCCATTCTCATGTTTGGTTATTATTCTCTCTCTTTTGTTCAGCTTCATAGCTCTCCATTATTTTGTCTTCTATGTCACTAATTTGCTCCTCTGCTTCTTCCAACCTGTTGTTTATTGACTCAAACCTGTTTTCAACGTCATTTATTATATTCTTTATCTCAGATTGATTCTTTTCTTCTGTTTTAGCTCAGTGGTAAGAGTCTCCATGATGTCTTCTATTCTTTTCTCAAGCCCAATGAGTATCCTTATGATTATTGCTTTAAATTCCCCATCAGGCATGTTACTTATATCTGCTTCACTTATACCTCTCACCTAGTGATCTTACCTAGTTCTTTCATATGGGATAAATTCCTCTGCCTTGACATTTTATCTATGTCTCTGCCTTCTTTGTGTTAGAAAAGCCTGTTATGTTTCCTGCTCTTGAAAATAACGGCTTTATGAAGAAGAGGTCCAGGGCCTGGATCTTCAGGGAATGTTTCTGTTGTATGCTGTGCATGCTCTGCTCTTGTGTTTTGTCTGCTCTATCCTTCAGGCCGGTTGTCTGCAGAGACTCCCCTTAACTGCTGTGGGCAGTGCTTGGTTCCTGGCCTGAATGTGTTAAGTTTTAATTAAGTGTGCTCTGGTCTGCTTGACAAATGACACCTGATACTAATTCCATAGGAAATGAGGCCCTGCAGAACTCTCTGATCAGATGTGATTGGGGCAGGGGTTTGTGCTTGTCCTTTGAAGGAATGGCTTGCTGTGCTGGGACTGAGGATAGCTTGAATGAGTAGTGTGGTCCTGCCAGAGCACAGGGGCATGGGGACTCTGTGTAATCAAGTTAGGCAGCCAGTGTTAGTGCTGCACTGCTTCCTGCAAGTGGCTTTGTGTTTGTGCTGGGGGAGGGGGAAGGAAATGGTGCCGGTCAGATCCTTTATGCCCAGAGAGGTGACTCTGAACACTTGCTCTCAGTGCAGTGCTTCCAGAAAACCAAATAATCTCTCCCCTGTGTGCCTCGGGTGATTTTCAGTTTGGTATTCCCATGCTGTCTATCCCCCCACATTGTTTTCCTGCCTTCTCTTCTCTAAGAGCAGCACAGTGCCCTCCAGGCTCTATCTCAGCCAAGCCTGCTTGATGTGAAATGTTGGGGTTCAGGAGCAAACAGTCAAGAAAGAATTCTTGAGATGTCTTTGCTGCAAAAAGTGTGGTTTTATTAAAGCAAGTGTACAAAACCCGTGGGTAGAAAAAGCTGCACTGGAGTTGTGAGGAGTGACTAATTATATACTTTCAGGTTGCAAGGGGATTAGGTATAGTGTAAGTCTCTAAGGAAGCAAGGTTTCCAGGACCTTGAGGGGCTAGCTGTTGTTAGGAAAAGGTTATTTACTACTGTCTAGTAAAAGGTTAGTCATGAGACGCTTCACATGCATATCAATTCAGCCATATGATTGGAGGATGATTGCTAACATATATCTTGGAGGGTGGGGGTGGGTAGAGATAAAAGAAGTTTCCAAAGGGATTTTTATAGGATCTTGGAGATGGGGCTAATATCAAGCTAAGGTTGCCTTTTGCCTCTAGCAAAGTGTTAATGTGAAGGCAAATAAGCATCTTGAGGAATATCACTCTGCCTGTCTCAAGTACTTGTAAGTAGTTGGCTGTACTTGGGCTGCAAGTTGTAAGGAACTTTTTTTTCTCCCTGCGCCATCACCCCCACTTTGGCCTTTGGTCTCCACATCATGCTGACCTTTAAAACCCCTGGCTTTACTACCATCTGGTCCTGAATTCACACCGACCCTTCACCTGTTTGGCTTTGTCTCTTCCACAAAAGATGAGATTTTGGGGGGATGGTTGTCAGTTTCCCAGAGTGTGGTGCTTTAATAGGTGGATCATTTATGATGTGTGGTTCCCTCTGATTCAGGTGAGGAAAATACCATTCTGACACTCTCCCAGAGGTAGTACTCTCATAAGGGCTTTTAATAAACGAGAAAGAGATGTGAGTAGGTCCCAAGAGCTCCCATGGCTGAAGATTCAAGGGTCCAGGCCCTAAAGGTAAATTGTCTCAAGACCACATAGAGATCAGCACAGATGCTTTCCAGGAGGGATGACATTAAGTTCTCTGAGCAGTAGCTCCTCAATGTCACGTATACCAGCAGGCAATCTTCCTGGAGCAACACAACATTGCTTGATTTCAGAAAGAATTTAAGACTGCTTGTAGGGACTACAAGGAGGGAGTCCACATGTGAGAAGTCCTCCTGCAATCACTTCAATCATCTCAAGGACTTCCTATATATCTGAGTCAATGGGTTCGTGTCCACTTGTTCCATTCTTCCTTATGATGCTGTGGAGACTGAGTATGACCCAGCCCTAACAATAAGCTCCTCTCCAGGACCCCAACAGAAGCAGAACAATTGCTGCTGCTGCTGTTCCTCTTGGTGGGGAGAAGGGAGCATGGACCTGGGAACCATTAGGTCCAGGACAGGGTGCCATTAAGGCAAATCCTTCCAGCAGGAATAGCTAGTTAGCAAATTCACTGAGTACTCCTCTATTTACATTTGTGTGCTCAGGAACTTTCCACATTATGCCTTCAAAATAGGTGTCAACCCACGATTGTGCAGACGGGCCCATTTCTATCTTGTGACATAGATGATATAGAATTAAAAAATACTCACATGTAAACATAAAGCATTTATTATTGTTATAATCAAGGCATAATCTCTGAAAACAATTGGCCTTGAAAATGGAAATAGAAGCAGAACCATTATTCATGAGTTTACAGTTTGTTCTTTGCTGTTCAGATTTCACGTTTCACACACAGCATCTACCACAAGATGGACTTTATTATGCAAGAAGAAGAAGAAGAATGAAATTAGAAGTCACAAATCATGGCTTAACTACCTCACTAGTTACCTGACTTCAGACCCATTACTTACTCACTGAGGACCCATGGGTTGTTTGCCTGTTTTCTGTCCAGAAGCAGGCCTGTACCCTCAGGGCTCTATCCCAGCCAAACCTGTTGAAGCGTTCTTCTTCTGCCTTCTCCTGTGCGCTCCTCTCTCTCTCTCTCTTTCTGCCTATCTCTCTCTGTTTCTCTCATCTTTCTCTCTCTCTCACCCTTCTCCACAACCATGACTTCCTCCTCTCTGAAGCACCTATGATCCATTTCTCTCCTAAACCACATTTCTGCTTTTCCTACCATCGTTAATGTGGCCTTTTCTCTCTTTAGTTGTGGAGTTTATTCTGACAGCCTTCAGGTTGATTTCTGGGGTATTTAGAATGATTTGATAGTTATCTAAATGTGTTCATGGGATCAGGCAAGCCTAGGGTCCTCCTATTCCACTGCCATCATTCCCCAGCTGTCTACCCCCCTTGATCAGACTCTCATCTTAACTGAGAAATGATCAAAGTATAAGGCATTAAGCACATCTAATGGCTAACACTCTGAAATTATTTTTTCTTTTTCCTTTTTTAAATTGACATCCAAATTAGCATATAGTGCCACAATGATTTCAGGAGTAGATTCCTTAGTGCCCCTTACCCATTTATCCCATCCCCCCTCCCACAACCCCTCCTGTAACCCTCAGTTTGTTCTCCATATTTATGAGTCTCTTCTGTTTTGTCCCCCTCCCTGTTTTTATATTATTTTTTTACACTTCCCTTATGTTCATCTGTTTTGTCTCTTAAAGTCCTCACATGAGTGAAGTCATATGACTTTTGCCTTTCTCTGACTGACTGATTTCACTTAGCATGATACCCTCCAATTCCATCCACGTCGTTGCAAATGGCAAGATTTCATTCTTTTTGATTGCCAAGTAAGACTCCATTGTATATATATACCACATCTTCCTTATCCATTCATCCATCGATGGACATTTGGGCTCTTTCCATACTTTGGCTATTGTTGATAGTGCTGCTATAAACATGGGGGTGCATGTGTCCCTTTGAAACAGCACACTTGTATCCCTTGAATAAATGCCTACCAGTGCAATTGCTGGGTCGTAGTTCCATTTTTAGTTTTTTGATGAACCTCCATACTGTTTTCCAGAGTGGCTGCACCAGCTTGCATTCCTGCCAATAATGCAGAAGAGATCTTCTTTCTCCGCATCCTCGCCAACATCTATGTTGCCTGAGTTGTTAATGTGAGCCATTCTGACAGGTGTCAGGTGGTATCTCATTGTGGTTTTGATTTGTATTTCCCTCATGATGAGTGATGTTGAGCATTTTTTCATGTGCTGTTTGGCTATCTGGATGTCTTCTTTGGAGAAGTGTCTATTCATATCTTTTGTCCATTTCTTCACTGGATTATTTTTTTTGGGGGGGGTATTGAGTTTGATAAGTTCTTTATAGATTTTGGATACTAACCCTTTACCTGATATGTCATTTGCAAATATCTTCTCCCATTCTGTCGATTGCCTTTTAGTTTTGCTGATGGTTTCCTTTGTTGTGCAGAAGCTTTTTATTTTGATGAGGTCCCAGTAGTTCATTTTTGCTTTTGTTTCCCTCGCCTCCAGAGCCGTGTTGCATAAGAAGTTGCTGTGGCCAAGATCAAAGAGGTTTTTGCCTGCTTTCTCCTCAAGGATTTTGATGGTTTCCTGTCTTACCTTTAGGTCTTTCATCCATTTTGAGTTTATTTTTGTGTATGGTGTAAGAAAGTGGTCCAGGTTCATTCTTCTGCATGGTGTTATACAGTTTCTCAGCACGACTTGCTGAAAAGACTTTATTCCATTGGATGTTCTTTCCTGCTTTGTCAAAGATGAGTTAGCCATACATTTGTGGGTCCATTTCTGGGTTCTCTATTCTGTTCCATTGATCTGAGTGTCTGTTCTCGTGCCAGTACCATACTGTCTTGATGATTACAGCTTTGTAGTATAGCTTGAAGTCTGGGATTGCGATGCCTCCTGCTTTGGCTTTCTTTTTCAAGATTGCTTTGGCTATTCGGGGTCTTTTCTGGTTCCATACAAATTTTAGGATTATTTGTTCTAGCTCTGTGAAGAATGCTGGTGTTATTTTGATAGGGATTGCATTGAATATGTAGATTACTTTGGGTAGTATCGACATTTTAACAATATTTGTTCTTCCTATCCAGGAGCATGGAATCTTTTTCCATTTCTTTGTGTCTTCTTCAATTCTTTCATAGGTTTTCTATAGTTTTTAGTGTATAGAGTTTTCACCTCTTTTGTTAGATTTATTCGTAGGTATTTTATGGTTTGCAGTGCAATTGTAAATGGGATCAATTCCTTGATTTCTCTTTCTGTTGCTTCATTGTTGGTGTATAGAAATACAACTATTTTCTGTGCATTGATTTTATATCCTGCAACTTTGCTGAATTCATGAATCAGTGCTAGCAGTTTTTTGGTGGAATCTTTAGGGTTTTCCATATAGAGTATCAGGTCATCTGCGAACAATGAAAGTTTGACCTCCTCCTGGCCGATTTGGATGCCTTTTATTTCTTTGTGTTGTCTGATTGCAGAGGCTAAGACTTCCAATACTATGTTGAATAACAGTGGTGAGAGTGGACATCCCTGTCTTGTTCCTGACCTTAGGGGGAAAGCTCTCAGTTTTTCCCCATTATAATATTAGCGTTGGGTCATTCATATATGGGTTTTATGATCTTGAGGTATGCTCCTTCTATCCCTACTTTCTTGAGGGTTTTTATCAAGAAAGGATGCTGTATTTTGTCAAATGCTTTCTCTGCATCTATTGAGAGGCTAATATAGTTCTTGTCCTTTCTTTTATTGATGTGATGAATCACATTAATTGTTTTGAAGATATTGAACCAGCCCTGCATCCCAGGTAGAAATCCCACTTGGTCATGGTGAATAATTTTTTTAATGTATTGTTGGATCCGGTGGGCTAGTATCTTTTTGAAGATTTTTGTATCCATGTTCATCAGGGAAACTGGTCTATAGCTCTCCTTTTTAGTGGGGTCTCTGTCTGGTTTTGGAATCAAGGTAATACTGGCTTCATAGAAAGAGTTTGGAAGTTTTCTTCCATTTCTATTTTTTGGAACAGTTTTAAGAGAATAGGTGTTAACTCTTCCTTAAATGTTTGGTAGAATTCCCCTGGAAAGCTATCTGGCCCTGGACTCTTGTTTTTTGACAGACTTTTGATTACTAATTCGATTTCCTTACTGGTTATGGGTTTGTTCAAATTTCCTATTTCTTCCTATTTCAGTTTTGGTAGTGTATATGTTTCTAGGAATTTGTCCATTTCTTACAGATTGCCCATTTTTTGGCATATAATTGCTCATAATATTCTCTTATTATTGTTTTTATTTCTGCTGTGTTGGTTGTGATCTCTCCTCTTTCATTCTTGATTTTATTTATTTGGGTTCTTTCCTTTTTCTTTTTGATTAAACTGACTAGTGGTTTATCAATTTTGTTAATTCTTTCAAAGAAGCAGCTTCTGGTTTCATTGATCTGATCTATTGTTTTTTGTTTGTTTGTTTCGATAGCATTAATTTCTGCTGTACTCTTTGTTATTTCCCATCTTCTGCTGGTTTTGGGTTTATTTGCTGTTCTTTTTCCAGCTCCTTAAGGCATAAGGTTAGGTTGTATATGTGAGATTTTTCTTCCTTCCTTAGCAAAGCCTGGATTGCTATATACTTTCCTCTTATGACCGCCTTTGCTGCATCCCAGAGGTTTTGGGTTGTGGTCTATCATTTTCATTGGCTTCCATATACTTTTTAATTCCTCTTTAACTTCTTGGTTAGCCCATTCATTCTTTAGTAGGATGTTTTTCAGTCTGCAAGTATTTGTTACCTTTCCAAATTTTTTCTTGTGATTGATTTTGAGTTTCATAACGTTGTGGTCTGAAAATATGCACGGTATGATCTCGATATTTTTGTACTTACTTAGGGCTGATTTGTGTCCCAGTATATGGTCTATTCTGGAGAACATTACATGTGCACTGGAGAAGAATGTGTATTCTGCTGCTTTAGAATGAAATGTTCTGAATATATGTTAAGTCCATCTGGTCCAGTGTGTCATTCAACGCCATTGTTTCCTTGTTGATTTTTTGATTAGATGATCTGTCCATTGCTGTGAGTGGGGTGTTGAAGTCTCCTACTATTATGGTATTATTATCAATGAGTTTCTTTATGTTTGTGATTAATTGATTTATATATTTGCGTGCTTTCACATTTGGCACATAAATGTTTACAATTGTTAGGTTTTCATGGTGGATAGACCCCTTGATTATGATATAATGCCCTTCTGCATCTCTTGATACAGTCTTTATTTTAAAGTCTACATCGTCTGATACAAGTATGGCTACTTCGGCTTTCTTTTGTTGACCATTAGCATGATAGATGGTTTTCCATCCTCTTATTTTCAATCTGAAGGTGTCTTTAGGTCTAAAGTGGGTCTCTTGTAAACAGCATATCTACACATCTTGTTTTCTTATCCATTCTGTTCCCCTATGTCTTTTGATTGGAGCATTGAGTCCATTGACGTTTAGAGTGAGTACTGAAAGATATGAATTTATTGCTATTATGATGCTTGTAGAGTTGGATTTCTGGTGGTGTTCTCTAGTCCTTTCTAATCTTTGTTGCTTTTGGTATTTATATGTATACATATATATTTTCATCTTTTCTCCCCTCAGAGAGTCCCCCTTAAAATTTCTTGCAGGGCTGGTTTAGTGGTCACAAACTCCTTTAGTTTCTGTTTGTCTGGGAAACTTTTTATCTCTCCTTCTCTTTTGAATGACAGCCTTGCTGGATAAAGAATTCTTGGCTGGGGCGCCTGGGTGGCGCAGTCGGTTAAGCGTCCGACTTCAGCCAGGTCACGATCTCGCGGTCCGTGAGTTCGAGCCCCGCGTCAGGCTCTGGGCTGATGGCTCAGAGCCTGGAGCCTGTTTCTGATTCTGTGTCTCCCTCTCTCTCTGCCCCTCCCCCGTTCATGCTCTGTCTCTCTCTGTCCCAAAAATAAATAAACGTTGAAAAAAAATTAAAAAAAAAAAAGAATTCTTGGCTGCACATTTTTCTGATTCAGCACACTGAATATATCCTGCCACTCCTTTCTAGCCTGCCAAGTTTCTGTGGATAGGTCTGCTGCAAACCTCATCTGTCTTCCCTTGTAGGTTAGGGACTTTTTTTCCCTTGCTGCCTTCATGATTCTCTCCTTGCCTGAGTATTTTGTGAATTTGACTATAATATGCCTTGTTGATGGTTTTTGTTGAATCTAATGGGGATCATCTGTGCTCCCTGGATTTTGATGTCTGCGTCTTTCCCCAGGTTAGGAAAGTTTTCCACTATGATTTGCTCATGTAACCCTTCTACCCCTATTTCTTCCTCTTCTGGGACCCCTATGATTCTGATATTGTTCCTTTTTAATGAGTCACTGATTTCTCTAATTCTTAAATCGTTCTCTTTTGCCTTCATCTCCATCTTTTTTTCTGCTTCGTTAATCTCTATACATTTGTCCTCTATATCGCTGATTCTCAGTTCTGTCTCATCCAACCTTGCCGCCGCAGCATCCATCCATGATTACAGCTCACTTATAGCATTTTAAATTTCATTCTGGCTATTTTTTTACTTCTTTTATCTCTGCAGAAAGGGATTCTAATCTATTTTCAACTCCTGCTAGTATTCTTATTATCGTACTTCTAAATTCTGGTTTAGACATCTTGCTTGTATCTGTGTTGGTTAAATCCCTGGCTGTCGTTTCTTCATGCTCTTTCTTTTGGTGTGAATTCCTTCATTTTGTCATTTTGAAGGGAGAAAAGGAATTAATGAGGTAGAAAAATTAAAGTAAAAAAATTAAAATTAAAAAAATATTAAAATTAAAAAATTAAACACACACACACACAAATTGAATAAATGATGCTAGATTCTAGGTGTGTTTTGTCTGGGTGTTGAAAGTGGTTTGACAGATTAGAGAAAAAAAAGGGGGGGAGAAAAAAATTTAAAAAATTAAAAAAATTTAGGGGCGCCTGGGTGGCACAGTCGGTTAAGCATCCGACTTCAGCCAGGTCACGATCTCGCCGTCCGTGGGTTCGAGCCCCGCATCGGGCTCTGGGCTGATGGCTCAGAGCCTGGAGCCTGTTTCCGATTCTGTGTCTCCCTCTCTCTCTGCCCCTCCCCCGTTCATGCTCTGTCTCTCTCTGTCCCAAAAATAAATAAACGTTGAAAACAAAATTTTTTTTAATTAAAAAAAT